TTCTTCTTGTTTACTACTGGTGGTTGGCTTTGGTCGCAGTACCGCCACCTTCTGTTGTGGAGTGTAAACGCTTCGCCTATGAGAAAAAGGAGCAGCGCATGAACCGAACGCAACACACGCGAACCGAACCAAACGGTTCGGACGGTTTTCATAAGCCGTTCCATCCCTATACTTGACAGAGTCAGCTTTTGAGAAGTGGGTACGACAAAGAATAGTCTAATCAGGGCTTATAGACGCAGGAAACGACGACAGATGTTAAGGTTCATCACACTGCTAAGCAGAATCATCACTGGAAATCATGTGGCACGGTAAGGAAGCTAGGATTTTTATGAATGTCTGAAATTTCCTGATTACGGAGGCTGACGGTAAAAGGATGACGCAGTCTGCTCATGCCCTCTTTGTTATCTAAGAACCGAGCCAGAACTGAACCGCTCCGAGCCCTACTGATGAACTAGCACCATGTTAGAGCAGTTTTGTTATGTCTGATAATGGCCGGTTCAGCTGTGCGTGCCATTTAGACTCAACTAGTATCTCTGTCACCGTGCTCAGACCGATCTCTGCACGGTGTCTAAAGGGTAGTGGAAATGGGGCATCCAGTAGCAGCCATTCAAAATGGCCCTTCCCAGCAGCCGAATGGCAGCAAATTCCTCTCCATCTTCCAGCCACTGGCCGCCTCCTCTGCGACCATATTTTTTTTCCCTCCGACTCCACCCTTTCACTGAATTACAGGGTCTGACCCGGAGATGAAGCTTCTCTTTAGATCTTAGTGTCCACAAATCATGACAAAAAGAATATTTTATTACAAATATTGAGGTTTAGAAAGGAATCTTAGAGGAACCATCAAGGAAAGTGGGGAAAATTTTGAATGGCTACTACTTTAAGTTATTTTGTAAAAAAGGGAATTGGTAAAACATTCTGTGTCTAGTTGAGCAAAGCAGAAGAAAACCTGAAGCTGCAGCAATGGATGGTTTTTCTAACCTTTGACTCTAAATACAATTGCATGCCACACTTTTCAGATTTTTCTTTGGGAACATTTTAATCTATGCATTATTATTTTTAGGCATATTTCTGTGTTGTTTTATAGCACATAATCCCCTTTAATCCTTTTAGTTTTGTGGCTGTAATGTGACTAAATCTGTAATTATCCAAGGGATCCTCTGCAGTTGGCTGAAAATCCGATGACTCCCACACGTTTGATTTAAATGATAAGAGTTTCTCTTTTGTCGGTCATTACAGGCGGCGACCACCAACAGCAAGTCGGCCCTCAGTGCCAGTAACAAGAAGACAACCCTCCCTGCAGATTTCAGCTTTGCCCCAGAGACGCTTTCCCAGCTTAGCCTCAAACCCTGCAGCTCGGTGAGGCTCGGCTCAAACGGTCCAACTGTTGAAGTTTTTATTTCCAACCTGTTTGTTAAAAAAAAATAAAAATGTGTTTCCACCACCAGCTGAGTCAAGCGGCCCAGAAGAGGCTGTCTGGAGAGCTTGGAGAGAACATTGGGGATTACGACTACAACAACGCCAACGACACGGCTAACTTCTGCCCAGGTCTTCAGGTAAAGCTGCGTCAGTGGAGCAGACCTGAAGGATGCTGGGTTCATCCCTCAGTGATTCTGAGAAATCAAAAACCTGAAATCCCACACCCTCCATCGCCGCCCTGCTGCGCTCCAGACCGCCTGCGCAAAGCAAAAGCTACAGCCTCCGCTGTTCCTCCCGTGTTCTCTGCTTCGACTTCCTCTGGGCTCAAGGAGCGCATGTGCGATATTATAATTATTAAATTCATAGGAGCAAAAAATGCAGAAATTAACGCTTAATTGCGTATGACATAATTTTAAAAAAAATCCCGATCAGCATCCAGCATATGTGCAGTTTCTGCCCGAATATTTTCATTTTGCTGTCAATCTAACTAAGATAACTAAGATCTATGTTTGTTCTCTGCTTCCAAACTCTTCATCCAGTCCTGAGATAAGAAGTTTCTTTTGACTGGATTTGATGAAACTTTTAAGCCTCTCTGTATAAAAAGAATATTTTACTGGAGATGAGAAATCTGTTTCCTGGTCTAATGAAGTACCGATAGTTTGCATCCAATCATTTAATTTAACAGTCTTAGCTTTGGGAGAATACAATATTTTAATTTGACAAACCGGATTTTCTCCTCGTTCTTTGTTTTTGTTGTTTTTTTTTTTGTTTCCTCCGCTCTATTTTTATTCATTTGCTCCTGGGCGTAATTCTCCCTCCCGTGCTGCGGTGGCGTTAAACCCATTTTGCCCTCCTACCTCGCTTCCTGGTTATACTCTTACAGCAGTGTGTTTCAGTTAGCTTGACGCAGACATTTTTGATTTATGCTCAATATTTGAGCGTGGTCTGTGCTACACGCTGTGGGAAGAGAAAG